AAAAAAAAAAAAAGTTTCCTTATAACTTTTTCTATATTAAATTCACTTAAAAACTTTTTCTACTAATATTTTCTATATCAATTTTTTACCAATCACAGCAAAATTAATGACTTAACAAAATTCTAACAAATTTTTATTATAAAACTCAATAACTTGCCACAATATTTTTTAACTTTCTATGCAATACTTTTCCAATCAACTTTGCAACAAAAACTTTTCTAATAGAACAACTCTCCAAACAAACAGCCCTAAATTCTTGAAACAAATTCTTAAGGTTTTACATTAGTCAATTACTTTTCTGATTGATATATTAATTCTTTTGAAAAAGTCAGCCACCCTATAATTGTTATAATTTTGTTAAGAAGGGTACTTGTCATTTTGAATACAGCTAATATGTGCTGGGGTCAGGACTTAGGAGGGCATTCAGCATTTAACCAAAAAAATAATTGTAACAAGTTTTCATGATTATGGGCCTTGTCTACAAGAACAAAGGGACGGCCCATACTCTTGGATCTTGTACATAACTACATATGAGCTTGACCCAAAGGAGCGCATTTTCGTGTGGTAGTCCAGGCCTAATCTAATCTCCATTATTCTATTTCTATTAACCCAATGGATTTTTGTTAGTTTAGTTGGGCTTGAGTCGAAGACCAAAATTGTCAAACAGAAGTATAGAACCAAATTAGGAAAATGTAAAAGTAGCAAAAATCTACTGCATGCATCAATCCAACCCTAACCCAATCTATAAAAATAGGGTAGGGTTTACATATCTCAACCCGTACAAGTCACGGGTCGGGTTAGAGTTAACTCATGGATTAATGGGTTGACTCGTTTATTTTATTTATTATTATTATTTTTAAAAATATTTTACTTATTATTCTTAATTAGTTTTCCTATTGATAACTCTCTCCATTCATTCATACTTTTCAACCTTATTTCCATTACTCAAATAGTTTTGAGCTTATTTTGAGTGTTTACTTATCATTATTTCTTTTTCATTCCCTATAAATTATGTGAGTTTAATCCAATTACTAAGTATTATGTAATAAATGATAATACAACTAAAAATATTAAAAATGTGATGTTAGGATATAAACATAATAATTTAGTAAAAAATGTTTTTGAAAAAGCAATTTCATCATTAAAAAAAAAGGATTAAACTCTTTGATAGTGTTTCAAGATTATTATAAAATTAAAACCTTATTTTCCCATAAATTTAAATATTTTAAGTTTAATGTTGCTAATTAACTTATTGTTATTTATACGTTTATGATTTTTTCTTAATTTAAATATTTGTCATGGAAACTATAAAGTGCTTAATGTTAATGAGTTATGATATTTTAATTAGATTTAGATATATATAATTTTATTTGTATAATAAAATTAATAAAAATAATTATGAAAAATAAAAATAAGATCAACCCATGAGTTAATCCATAACTCATTAGGGTCGGATTAAAATTAGACTTTTTCAATCAACAACTCATTTACGACTCAATCTGTATAATCCGTCACTTGAGTTGACTCAAATCGAATCCAACCCAATATGCGCATTTGCCAAGGCTAGGAAAATGTGAACCATTTGTTCCTAGATGGGGGTTCAGAAGGTAGGGACTTCCATTTCTACGGAATATGTGCATTATAAGGATGATATCTCTTCGGACAAATTTTAGGAGCTCATTCTCACGTCAACATGATATCTTTTTTAATATTTATTTTAAAATTTAAATTTAATTTATAAAATAATATTTATTTATCTATAAATCTACCCATCTTTATTAAAATTTTTCCTCTTAACTAAATGACAATAGACAATAGCGGCAGGTCTGAGTTATATGGACCCCTTAAATAGAAAGCAGAGAATGCCTCATGTACCATTGCTCCCATCGATCCGATTCAATCGTGCCATTCTTCTTTTGCATATGGCTGAAATTACCATTCATTTGTTTATACCATTGTGTGTGTGTGTTCTTTTTTTCTGCGGTGTATATTATTATGGTATTTTTAGATTAATTTTTATTTATTTTAAGATTTATTACTCTCTAAATAATCTTAAGAGCATAACTTTTCATTGATTTAGTGTATTTAAAGAAAATAAATTTTTTAAATATTAATCTCCAAACTTAAATATTGAATTTAACATATAAAATAATATTTATTTATTAATAAATTCAATTATTGAGGTTATTTATATATTGTGTTTGTGTAATTTTTTAGGTTAAAGTTTCGCGATACTATTACTTTAGAGTAAACTGTCCTGAATGTTCCACACAAGGGAGTGTGTAAAAAATACCGCGAGTGATTGAACCAATTTCTTTGTCCTTATTAGATTTTTTTTTTTTTTTGACTTAATTTGACCGAACAGAGCCAAAGGACCAAAAATGTAGAGACTCCAAAAGCCTTACATGGAATCTTCTAAATCACACTTGGCACCTTCCATTGTCTTAATTTGGACTTGCCCAAAATTGTGCCAATGGTTAATATCATACATACCAAAGGAGAAAGGATTGATAAAATGGAAAATAAAAGACAAATATAACCAATTAATTCATTGAAGAACCACCATTCACAACTCACTCCCTTCATGCAAAACTAAATCACATTGTTTGGCATAAAGAAAAACTAGTGTGAAAGAGGAAACTTATATACAACAATTTAACAAGGAATCCTTTGAATAAAAATGATAATACGTTATAATATCACGTGAGATTATAAGTTAACAATTATGTCATTACATATCATTAAATAAATACATATATTATTATAAATAAACTTTCAAATAAAAAGAAACACATAATAATTGTAAACTTACAATATTATATAACATTACAATTATATCATTTTCAAAATAAAAAAGAAAAATTAGATCATTAACCTGAGTATGGGTTAACAAAGAAAGCAAATAACACAATTAGCTAATCAAGAATATAGGATTATAGATTTTTTGTAACTATACAAGCAAATATTTGTTGAGCAATAACAACAAACTATTTCCACTCATCCTTCTTTTTTTCAAATTTCTTCAACCAGCTCTACATTTCCCTTCATCTTTTAAAAATGCAATGTCAAAAATGAAAAATCAGAGAGAAATGGGTAACAGAGGAACCAACAAGACCTTAGCCACTGAAGTTAGTTTATACAGATTAAATTTAAATCACTGCTATGCCAAACAGTTCACTTTTGATGTTAAAAAAAAAGAAAAGAAACAGAGAAGATATATAACTAGTCAGGATTCTTGCAGCCACATATCAACAAGGAAAACTCACCCCTGTCATTATCCTTCTGCTCCGAACTCTTCTCCTCCAACCACAACCGGCTGTCCAATCCACTCCTTCTCCTGAACATGAACACAGCCCGTCCAGCGGCCGCCGCCTCCTGATTGAACAACCAGTCATGCAAATCCCACATCATATCCACCAGCAATCCATTGTCGAGGTAAATTGTCTGGTTTCCCCTGAAATTCCACGCCAGCCTCTTGATCTGAAAAATCATCTTCTTATCAATGCTGACGGACAATTCCCGATTCTTCGGCTCCTCCCCTTCTTCGCCGCACTTTATCAGAATCTCATGAGCCAATCCAGCGTCGCAGAACCGCGCTTTTGTTGAATAAACCGAACACCCAGAAAAATTCTCACTCCGTGAAACTAATGAAAACCCTGCAATTTTATCTTGAAAATCTGTTTTCATTCTCTTGGCTTCCTCGTCCATGTCCCCGAGAAGAAGACAGATTTCTGAATCCACTACAACCATAATATAAAACCGGTTGTCCGGTTCTGGTCCATTAATATACCGAGCATCTGAAAGATCCCAGAAAACTTCAATTTTCGAATTGCAGGACTGAAACGTTTCGAACCCTTTGCTTTTCTTCAACCGGTGAGAATCTGAGTTTGATAAGTTTTCGCCGAACTTGATTGTTAGACCATTCCCGGTGGTTTTGTTACACCAGGTGATGGTGATGATGATGTTTTTTCCGGTAAAGAGTTTGGCCCTGTATATACATATAATGGTGTTTGGGGTTGGAAAGGTCATGTTGGGTGAAAGATAGGCCCTGTTTGAAGGACCTGAACAATACGAATCTGATACTTTAATCGCATGTTCACTGTAACACCTTGCCAAACTCCTCATCTTGG